GCTGTCGGGGAAGGCCCTCTCTATTGATATAAGGGAGGTGTCATTCAGTTCACTCTCACTGTGGCTCAAGTCAAGAGTTTGCTTAGACGAACTCAAGATGGGTAGGAGGAGGAGGAAAATAAACCATATCTTGCAATCTTGCATTTCCTCAACGTTATTCAGGTTGTTCGATATCTATTTGGTTGTCGACGGGTCCCTCCGTAGTGAGAATCGCCGTACGGTTGTGATTATTGAGAACTCTGGTGTCGTCCCAGAAGGCGGTGTTGATGACGGAGTTGATATGGAGAGTAGCTCGTGTGACTCCTCTGACGTTGCTTCCTGGGCTGAATTCGACCCGATACTGTAACCATCCTCATGTACATTATAAAACTCTTAATGTGACTTACGTAATTGCACCGCCATCGTCCAGTGAGACTGTATTGGCGACCTTCCGCATCCTACTACTACTACCAGCATGGTGCTCCGAGTAGGAGTATGCTTCTCAGTGTGCAGCTTTATCCCGCATCCAGAGTTGTTCTCGAGAGCGGCTATTATTGATCAACGGCTTGCTACAGGTATAACTGCGACAACCTCATCATTCGTCGTGTACCATGGTGTTTTTGATGTCGCATGCATTGTCGATTCACGCGAGGCTGCTGTGTCAGCTCGCTTCGTAGTTCTATCTTCTAGCTCAGTCGCATTCACTCCTTTTCCCCAAGACGCTTTCATGCTTATGTTGTGTTTCTAGTCGGGAAGCAAGCCAAACGAGAGGATATATAGAGAAAGCACACTTGTCTCACTTTCCGGATTGGGTATTTCAATGGAATACTATCAGGAACGAGTCAAATAAGACTCCTGAGTGAAATTAGTTCACTGAAATGGCTAGGGACTGTCAGCAGCAATACAGTAAGCTATGTGGCCAGTTTGAAGGGCACCAGTTTGGGAGATGCTTGGCAAGTTGCCAAACATGTGGTTAGTGAACATGGTAACTGCATTATCAGTCTCACACTGGAGACTCAACCAGCAACAACAGTGGAGGACGAAATGAATAATGCGAGTCTGCTCCTCCGGGTCATGCAGAGCTGGATCTCCGAACGCGCCAATAAGCATGCTACACTTGGAGTGAGATACGACCTCGCAAACGTGAGATTAGATGATAGTGAGTCAGAGACTAGTGGCAGAGACTTTTATCTCCGTCAAGTAACTATCCTGAGCTATTCGTGTGACCGGTCATTCAGGAGTTGTTGACGTTTAGAGTTGTCCACTATTTAGTGACGGCTCAAAACGAAATGCTGGAAACTTCAACTATTTCTAGTATGGTTTGTATAAAGTGGATTTTGGTGAGGGTATAGGTATCAATGATTCGATGCAGAGTGGCTCTAGGTCAACCCAGGGATTTGGTTTCTTCCCCTGCAATCGGCCTCCTGGAGGCCGCCTCCATCTTTCAGCACTTCAAGCCTACTTGTTGGAGAGGATGTAGTTGCTCAAGACAGCTATGATACAGTGAGATTCAGAATTTGCCAATAGCTTAGTCA